CCTATAGGCTAACCCACTGTAGCCTACACAAGCATAACATATATAATGTTTGACACACCCCCATAGGCAAAGTGGGGGAGAACAAGGGGTCACAAGACCAGTCAAGCAAAGCAAAGCAAGCTCAGGGTGGATCACAAAGTCACCACACAGTCCGAGCACAAGAGCAGGGCCAGAGGCCAGTTCACATGCAGGAGTACAGACATATATATAAAACTAGACAAGCAAGAGCAGGTATATATATATGTCACAGTACAAGTGAAGTCAAGAGGAGAGCAAGTGAGGCAAGACAGGCACAAGACCCAGCTGGGTGCAAAAGCGCTGATGGTCACAAGGCGCGAGTGCCTTGGTGAACACATCAGCAGTGTTGGCCTCAGAGGCCACGTACGCAAGTCGCAACTGACCACGCTGCTGCAGCTCACGAGCAAGGAAGTAGCGGAGAGCAATGTGCTTCGTTCTGTGCTCCAAGCGCTGCTCTCGGCACAAGGCCAGCATGGCCTTGTTGTCTACGTACAGCACTGGAGGAGAACGAGGCGGCTCTCCAAGGTCAGTCAGCAGGTAGGTGAGCCAGCGAAGCTCCTATGCAGCCATGGCCCCGGCGTAGATCTCAGCCTCACAACTGGAGCCGAGAACAGAAGACGAGCGAGTAGACCGCCACGAGACAGAGCCGGAACCAAGGCTGAAGGTGTAACCCTGTGACGACCGCTGCGTAGCCTGGTCGTCAGCCCAAGAAGCGTCCGCGTGGCCGGTAAGGACCACTGGACTCCGCCCTCCAAGCACTAGCCCCATGCCCGACGTACTGCACAGGTAGCGCAATACCCTCTTCGCTGCAGCCATGTGCTCTGGTCTGTGTCTCCCAGGAGCAACATAGCGTGCAAGAATGCTCAGAGGGTATGCAAGGTCAGGTCGAGTGCAGGTCATCAGGTACATGAGGCAGCCAACAAGCTCTGCATACGGACCACTCGACTCTACGGACTCATCCGAAGGCAGAGCTGAGAGTGAGTGGCGAGTAGGCAGAGGAGTGGCCTGAGGCGAGGAGTACGTGAAGCCGAAGCGCTGAAGGACCTGCTGCACCATGTGTGACTGAGTCAAGGTAATGGTGCGGCGTGCTCTGACCCGAGTGATCTGCAAGCTAAGGTAGCTGCGCAGTTCACCCAGGTCTGTGCACGTGTGTCTCTTCAGCAGCTCGGACTTCACGTAGGCGAGTCCAGCAGTGTCCGCTGTGGCAAAGACCAAGTCGTCGACGTACACGAGGATGTAGAACGGCGGCAGGGAAGTGTCGGTGCGAAGAAACAGCGACGGGTCAGCAGTAGAAGGAGCAAACCCAAGAGCCGCAAGCGTAGTCCTCAGTGTGTCGTGCCACTCACGCGGTGCCTGGCGGAGACCGTAGACTGGCCGTCGGAGGCTCCACAGGGTGCCAGGAGGGAAAGTCCCAGTGAAGCCAGGTGGACGGCGAAGCCAGATCTCCTCGTGCAGGCTACCCTGCAAGAACGCAGTGCTGAAGTCGAGAGAGTGAAGCTCGTAGTCGCGCTGAGCGGCTATGTGCAGCAGCACCCGAAGAGTAGTCATCTTCGGGGTGGGAGAGAAGGTCTGAAAGTAGTCAACTCCCTGCCGCTGACTGAAGCCACGAGCAACGTACCGTGCCTTGAAGACAGGTGGAGAGCCCGGCAGCCGCTTCACCCTGAAGATCCACATGCCACTGACGATGTTCGCCCCAGGAGGGGGAACCGCGTCAACGTAGGTGCCTGTGGACTTCCAGGAAGCCATCTCTGCATCCATAGCTGCCTGCCACTGAGAGGAGTAGGGACCCTCTACGGCCTCCGCGTAAGAACGCGGAGTCGGGATGTCTAGTGCATCCGGGTCTCCCTCAGGGGCAAGCAGTACAGACGCGAGATGAGGTGAAGCAGCCGCTAGACACTTGAACTCCTCCTGCCTGTCCTCTAGGACGTCCGTGCCAAGAGCACACTCACCCCCGACGGACGGAGGACAGACAGACGCAGACTCAGCAACAAGACTAGCAGGGTAGTCGAGACGACAGCGAGCAGCAAAGTCGACGAGCTCAGCGACTAGAGCAGACGCAGCAGTGGACTCAAAAGAGGGGTCAGTGACGACAGTAGCAAGCAGACGCGTGACAGTAGGACTGGCAGCACGAAGAGAGTCCGACTCAGGGTCGGCAAGCGCAGGAAGAGAGGACTCAGGAGGAGAAGGCAAAGGGGCACGCAGAGGAGCAGTGGACGGACGCAAAGACATCCAGTGCGTGCCAGGGACAGGAGGAGGACGCTGACGCGAACTGCGACCACTAGCGCGAGCAGCACGAACAGGCGACGCGGGACGAGACGCAGGCTCACGACGCTCAGCAAGACCTCCAGTAGGACCAGTGTAAGGAGAGGGAGCAGGCAGTGGAGAGGAAGGCTCCAGCAGGGACTGCGACTGGACAGGCGGTGGACCCTCTACTGGAGGAGAAAGACCAAGAACCTGCTGCAGGAGCAGAACGAAGTACGGCCGAGGCCGCGCGGCAGCTCCAGACTCAGTAGGGATAGCACCAGCACCCTCAGCGACAGCACCAGTTCACTCCTGCGAGTCAGCGGGTGACCCACTGCACGGAGGCACGCACAGGCCGACACCTGGCCACGTTCTCGCGTCGGCCGGGGTCGAGTCTCTACACCCTGACTGTTGAGTCTCCTCCTGTCCCTGCGTCTGGTCAGGTGGCTGCGTCAGGTCAGGTGCTTGCTGCTGCGTCCCGGTCAGGTTCTGAGTCTGCCCCCTGTTCTTGTCGCCTCCTGTCTTACGAGACTCTCCTGTGGCACCACCGTCTTGGCCACCCCTCCTTGCCCCGTCTACTTACCCGCACTGACCCGCTACTTAAACAAGCCCTTTTATCCCAATGGTCTAGTGGTTGGGATTTTGAGATGGTATCAAGAGCGAGGGTCTCGGGCTCGAATCCCGGTGTGTGCACTTCGGGCATCCCAGTGAGGGGGGGTGTCAGAGGTCCATTGGTGATCCCCGATTGATCCTAGGGAAGGGTTACAGGCACGGTTGCCTGGGGGGTTATGGGCGCACTGACCCGCTACTTAAACAAGCCCTTTTATCCCAATGGTCTAATGGTTGGGATTCTGAGAAACACCGTTGGAATAAAAAAACACTGAAAATTCAGTGTCGTTCAATATAAAGGGCTGAACGATCAGGGTCACTTCTAAAAAACACCCGAAAACATCAGGAAATCAGGGTAAAAATCCTAACTTTTGAGGCCCTGGCATAAAGGCGCTAAGGGAATCCTATGTAAGTATGGGCCTTTACCAACCATGGATGTCGGACCACATACGGTACATATGTCTAACCACCTAGTCCTGTATAAAATCGCTGGTAAGGCAACTTCCATATTTTTTTTTTTTATTCCAAACAGCCAGCCAGCACCGAGTTGCTGCAGTCACACAAATAGACACCTTATGGGGGCTCGGCCTTTCTCTGAGTTTCAAACCAAAACCTCACTTTCTTTCTGTTACGGAGACATTGGCGGGTTTCCTTCATCACAAAGTGTCCATCTGGGCGATGTTCGGCAGCCAGGGGAGAGGGTTTGAGGGAGAATCGAAATGCCGGGCCACCAGGTTCGACCTTGGCGAACCAGGCATAACACTTTGGTTAGACAAGAAAAAACTGAAAAACGTGTCGAACGTGAGCCTAAAACGCGACGCGAACACCATGCTAGATGGTAACCTGCGCCGCATCCTCCCCCGAAATTCTACCCAATAGCGGAAAAACTCCGCCCTAGTGCCCATGGAATCCAAATTGCACTCCCGTGAGTGTCAGGGCCCACGGAGGGTATAACTTGGATTCCCTTATTCACGCATTTTCTTTATAATTTTACCCCAACCTCTAAATTAACTAGTACTTTCTACATAAAAACGTAATGCAAATACTCTAATCTCTATAAGGTACGTCAGGTGAATACGACATTTATTACCTTCAAATTCATTTATGGTGTTGAAGGTTTTTGGATAGTGATACACCCAAACAAGTCGCAACAGTAAAATGAGGCAGGGGGGAGAAAAACTGTTAAGCACGGGAATTTTCGTTTCGTGCTGCCGCAGTTTCGTGAGCCCCCATCCCATGAATCGCTCGTCCGCGCCTTACCCCCAAAACTTTCCGCTTGCGCTTGGACCCCGGACTTGGGGTCGACGTGGGTTGACTCCAAGTTGACCAGCCCACACTAAAAACCCTAGGTTTGAGTTTGGACTCCCCCCCCCCCCCCCCCTCGCTGTATCCCGTGTGCTGCCAAACATCGCCCTGTGGCGTCCTTGTTGGGATGCCAGAAGATAACACCCAGTCACCATGACATTTGTGAATATTCACGGGTGCGCTTGAAAGCAACCATTCTTTCAATGGGAATGTGACAATTCAAAGGCTACCGTACCAGAAGCTGATTGTTTCTACACAGCACGTGGAAATCCAAAATAGGGAGTGCTAAATTAAATATATCGTCGGTGCGTTCATCTCTGTATAAGCGCATGCACTGCGCCAATTAAATGGTGCGCCCGTATCGGGGGGATCACAGTCAGTGCTCCCCATAACATTGGTGGTAACCTTTCACCTAGAGTATGCACGAGTGGGTCTAGTGTGCAGCAGGGGCAGGCCTATGAGGACGTTGCAGCTCTCCCTGCCTTGGAAATTGCGGAGCAGCGAGTCAATAACGGCAGTATGTGGGGCGGAGCGTGTGTGGGTCTATCGTGCAGCAGAGGGCTGTGCTATTGGGACCCTTCACCTGTCCCTGCCTTTGAAGAACTGGAGCAGCAGCGAGCCAATAACCACAGTACATGGGGAGCATGTGTGGAGCACGAGTGGGTCTAGTATGCAGCAGAGGGCTGGGCTATGAGGTTGCTGCGGGTCCTTCTTGGAAGTACTCGCGGAGCAGCGAGTCAATAACCGCAGTTTGTGTGGAGCATGTGTGGATGATGTGTGGAGCATGTGTGGAGCACGAGTGGAGGATGTGTGGGGCACGAGTGGGCCTATTGTGCAGCAGAGGGCTGGGCTACGAGAATGTTGCGGCTCTCCTTGCCCTGAAAGAACTCCCCGAGCAGCTCCCTAAGGTTTTCATCCGTGAAGCGAATGTGCTTGCTGGCCTCCTTGCTGCTGCTGCCAAAGAACCCGCCACTCTTCAACAGCGGGCTGATGGGGGGAGAGGGGATTGGCAGTGACAAGGGAGGGATTAGCAAGAAGGAAGGGCCAACGGTAGGGGAGGTTGCTGCTTTTCAGCTCCAAGCTGAAAGACAGGAAGGAGATGGAAGGACAGCCAAGGGACACGGGTGGAGGCGGAGAGGGGATGAGTGGGATAGGGGGTGATAGAGCTAGCATCTATTGTGTGCATGGGAACACATGTATGCATGTGAATATATGTGCGTGTGGGTATGTGAGCAGGCCAAACACACACAGTGATCCCTACAAAACATATACGGATACACAGGCATGGCGCAAGCATGCAGAGGACATAGCGCATGGTGCATAGCACGTACCAAGGTGACTTCTGACTCAACTCAAGAAGTAACATAGCGCATGGTGCATAGCACGTACCAAGGTGACTTTTGACTCAACTCAAGAAGTAACATAGCGCATGGTGCATAGCATGCCTCGTTGCACCAAGGCCCAGGGGGTGGGAGCAGCACATGCAACACGACACAGACAACTACGATGGGAGCAACATGCAAGTCATACGTATCAGTGCACCAAGGAGCGGCAGGCGGGCAGCAACACATGCAGGCGGGCGGCAGCACATGCAGGCGGGCGGCAGCACATGCAGGCGGGCGGCAGCACATGCAGGCGGGCGGCAGCACATGCAGGCGGGCGGCAGCATATGCAGGCGCACACAGAGAAACAAACCACCCTGGCGGCAACTCATTTGCAACACAACACCTAACCTCTAGCCAACTGACATGTATCGCTGCTCAAAGGAGCGACCAGCAACTCATGTGCAATACACCTCAACCTCATGTGTATCGTTGCATGAAGGTGCGGTAGGCAGGCAGCAGCAACACGACTATCTGGGGCATGCATGCATGAAGGCATTGCTCTGAAGCAAAGAGCTGTACATACAGACACGCACACCGATGACCAAACACACAGCAGCCTCTACCCAACTCACGTGCATCGCTGCAGAAAGGAGCGGTAGGCGGGCAACAGGTCCTTGGAAATCCTTTGCTGCAGGGCGGATTGCAGCTTGGGATCTGGGATCTTCCACATGCACTGCGTGCGATGCAGCTCCTCAAATGTGGCATTGAACACACGGAACCTGGAAAAGGGGGTGGGGAAGACGAGAGAGGGAGGGATGGGTGGGGGGGAAGGTGGGGGAAACGGGTCGGGGATCTTCCACATGCACTGCGTGCGATTGAGCTTCTGGGGGGGGAAGGGGGAAGGGGGAAAAGAGAGGTGAGATGAAAGGGGGAGAGCTAGGATGAGGCATGGATCTTCCACACGCATTGCGAGCGATGCAGCTCCTCAAACGTGACAATAACATGCGGAACCTGTAGGGGGAAGGGCGAAAAAGGGGAGACGGAGACGGAAGGGAGAGATGGGATGAGGTAACAATCTTCCACACGCACTGCGCGCAACGCATTGAACGCATCGAACCTGCAATGGGGAAAGGGGGAGGGTGAGAAGAGGAGAGGAGAGAGAGGTGAGCTGAAATTGGGAATTTCCATGCAATAAATTATATGTGGCATTAACCCGGGGGGGAGAGGAGGTGAGAGGCGGAGGGAGAGAAGAGGGAGAGAGGAGGGACAGGAGACGGAGAGGAGAGGGAGAGGAGAGGGAGAGGAGAGGGAGACGAGAGGGAGAAGGAGAGTGAAGGGAGACTGCCCACCTCATACACACACGCCTCTGCTCCACTCCCCATCTCACTTCTCTTTGACAGTGTTGCGGCGCGCAATGCCCTCCATGCCCTCCTCTGATGGCCCTTCCGGCTTCAGTAGCTCAAAAATCTGGCGAGCGTAAGCGAGGGAGAGGGAGAGTTGCAACTTTTGAGACGCCTTGGATGTGCTGCACCTTACCAGAAAAATGCAGTGCCCAGGACAGGGGAAGTTGCGAGAAAACAGGATTGTATCGATTCTGGCGAGGAGAGGAAGAGCCAGGTTCTGCCCTCTACCAGAAGAGGAGTCATGAACAGTATTGGTTTGGTTTTTGAGACGACTCAAAAACCTTTACCAGAGGAAGTATGCAGCAACCGTGTAAAGAAGATGGCGAATTTTGAGGCGCCTGAATGGTGATTCTTTTTACCAAAAAAAGTACACAAGCAGTGCCTGTGAGAGGGAATCATGTGAACAAAGGATTGTTGTATTGGTTGAAGCCCAACCAAGTGAGCTGAGCTGAGGTAAACCCAGGTAAAGTCATTGATACTTTAGGCTGGAATTTTTAATGATTACTGAAGGCCCAAATATTTGTGGTTGGGTCAACCAACACTAGTGGGGGTCCAACCATTGTTGGTTGGATTCTGACCAGCATTATTACAAGGCCAATGATTGTTGGAGACCCACCTAAAATCCAACCACAAATGTGGTTGGCGGGCACACCCAATAATCCCTCGATAGCTAGCAGTTACACCTCTTATTTTCGCCTAGAGCAGCTACACTTCTTGTTGTAGCCTATGTACGTTGTACAGAATAATTAAAACACAACCCACCATGCGCTACATTATTGCATAAAAGGTCCTATGTGTTGATGCAACCACATCGTTTGCACTCGGCTTGTTGTCCTTATGCGTGCATGTGTGTTTGCATTGAATCGTATGAACGCATGAGATAATATATACATTTCATGCTTATAATAGTGTGTAAATGATGAGTCATGATGTCGAATGTGTGTAACTAGAGCAATGTCCTTGTCAAATGATGCGTTCTCAAGAAAAAAGAAGCCACATATGTATGGCTGAACTGTTGAGGCTAGCTACAGCAACTCAAAGCTGAGGGCAAATCTAGCCAACTTTGCCAAGCTAGCAAGTGAGGCCTCATGTTGCACATGTGGCCAAACTAGAACAACAAGCCACGTGGCAGCATATGGCACACCATATAACCAGCAAGGTGAGCATGGGATCTATGAACACATTTCACTGTGGGTGAGTTGTGGAGTATGGACATGTCATGGTGAGCATAATGAGAAGAGAAAGTGCAACTTCTGAGAGTTGAACCCGCAACCTCTAAGACCAAAGGTGAGAGACAACCCACTGAAACATACTTGCTGCAGAACAAAGACTACGTAGCACTATTCCAGATCCCTAAATCTGAGCTTTTAGGGTTTGTAGAGTCTTTGAGTCATTTCAAGATCGAACTTCTTCCTACCTTGTGCTTTAAGACTAAAGTTCCTGGTAGACCGCCGTTCGCTCAAATTACTCTCACGTCGTGAGTTCTTTATTATATCGAGTGATTCAACCTGCTGATTGTAGACGACATTAATACACTCCAAATCCAACTTATAGCAAGTCATTTGATACAGTAATCAGTCCACTATCAACATTTGAAACCGCTCTGCAAATTAACGTATGTGCACTCTAACTTTCGTTTTGGGCATATTTGAGCCTAGATATGAGCAACGAACCGAATCTAAGTTCGGTTTGCTCAAACAGGTTCGAGGTAACTCGAACCGAACTTTTTTCCTGGTAAAAAAGGTTTGGGCAAACCTTGAAAAAGTTCGTGCGAACCGTTTGCTAAAAAATTTGAAGTTCCAGTTTTGGACTTCGAACCGAACAGGTTTGAAGTTCAAAACTGTCTAATTCGAACTGCGTGGGGTTCGAATTAGATACCTGCCGAATCCCACGCGACTTTCTCATAAAAAACGGCAGGGTCAAAGGGTTGGCTGCCATTTCACGGCAGCCGATTCTAAACTCGTAAATTTACTAGAGCATATCTAGATCTGCAATGATCTACCATTCATTAACTAGACCTTCCTCTTAAGATGCGTCATACATTTAGGTGTTAGGTTAGATATAACAGTGCACATACATTATGTTCCCAGCTGGAGAAGAGCATTCCGTTTTTTAACCCCAAACCTTCCTAGGTTCGAGATCGCTCAAAACCTTTCACGGTTTGAGCAAACCTTTAGGTTTTGCTATTATATACTCAAACCTCAAACATCAGAATTCTAAAAAAAGTTCGAGCGCACCTGTTCGGTTCGGTTCGACCATCATGCAAGGTTCGAAAAAGTTTGAGCAAACACGTTTGAGTTCGGTTCGTGCTCATACCTATTTGAGCCTACTGTGGCTGTAACACCATGCCCCCCACCCCTCCCTTCCTCTTCCCCACCACCCCTCGCCTTCTTACCTTGTTCCTTGACATCCGAAGGCATGCATAACGCAAATTCATGCTGCTCCACAACGTGACATTGCTGGACGTTGCTGATCTATAATATTGCGTAAAGTGTGGAATCCACCCTTCCCCACTTCCTCCTTTCCCCCCTACCCCTCGCCTTCTCACCTTGCTCCTCGACATCCGAAGGTATGCCATGGCATGCTGCTCCACAACACATTGCTACACGTTGCTGCACTACCTTTTTGCATCAGAATTCCACCCACCCCCTACCCCTCGCCACCCCACCTTTCTCCATGACATCCGAAGGTACGCCTTGGCATGTTTCTCCACGATGCCCCGCTGCTGGTAGATCCACTCCTCCCCCACCACATCCTTTAGATTGCCACTGAGAAGAAAAGAGGGAGAGGGAGAGGGAGAGGGAGAGGGAGAGGGAGAGGGAGAGGGAGAAGGAGAGGGAGAGGGAGAGGGAGAGGGAGAGGGAGAGGGAGAGGGAGAAGGAGAGGGAGAGGGAGAGGGAGAGGGAGAGGGAAAGATTTGTCATACTGCTTTCTTGCACTGTGAACAAGGCTTACCTTGACCCCTCCCCTTTCCCCACCCTCACCCCCACATAACTTCTCCATTTTCCCTCCCTCACTTTACCACGCGCTCCACGATGTAGCGCACGTTGTTCTTGAGGAAGAACTGCCCGAGGGACCATTGTTGCATGGTACATACATCCTCCTTGCACTGTGAACGACGCACCACAGTACACCTTGCGGAATGAACAGGGCTATTCCTTACTTGATGACACGCTCCACGATGTAGTGAGCGTTGTTCATGAGGAAGAACTCACTGAGCGCCGCATTGTCATACTGCTTGCTCTTCCTCTCCACCAGGTTTGTGTAAAGCACCGCAAAGGCCCGCTTCATATTGTCACTGAAGATGTTGCTGCCAGCGCCAAAGAGTGACTGCATGGTGGGCTGGAAGCTGAAAGGGAGGGACGCGTAAAGGGAAGGGAGAAGTAAAAGGGGACAAGGGAAAGGGACGAGACGAGTTAAGGGGGCGTGTGAAGGGGACAAGTAAAGGGGACAATCAAAAGGGACGAGTAAAGGGGGAAAGTAAAGGGGACGAGTTAAGGGGACCAGAAGAGGGGACGGGTAAAGGGAACGAGTGAAGGGGACAACAATCAGCCACGCATCAAAGCCAACGACACACAGTCAGCGACGCACAGTTAACGATGCATGAGAACTCAACGACGCATCAAGAGCCAACGACGCACTCATCATTGGGATGGTTGAAGCTGTTAACCATGTAGCTGGTGAGTGCATGCACGATGTCATTACGCGGCATGCTGTGGTGGAGTAATTCCCTCCTCCCCTCTCTCACACAGCCAACGATGCATCAGTCAATGACGCATCAAAAGCCCACGACGCACTCGTAATGGAGATAGTTAAAGAAGTTAGCAACGTGGCTCGTGAGCGCATGCCTCGTGTCATCCTGCCAGCGCGTGCCATGCTGTGGTGAAGTGAAGTTATCCCCTCCCGTCCAACGCACAGGCAAGCCAAGCTTCAGAAGTCAACGACACATCACAAGTCAACGATTCACCCGTCATTGAGATAGTTGAAGTTGTTCACCACGTGGCTGGTGAGCGCATGCCTGGTGCCATCGCGCGGCATGGTATAATTCTCATCGCTCGCCACTGCCAGCTCAAAGTTGTTAAATGCATCCTTAGAGGCCGTTGCTAGTCGCTGCAGCAGCTGCTGCGCGCTGCTCCGGATGGCATCACATGCCGTGCCCGCAAACACCACCTCCACCTGTACGCATTGAGAGGACAGGGTGAGAGGAGGATTATCATCTATGTTGGCATATACGCGTATAGCGTATATACACGTGTCGTACTATACGCGCTAAGGGCCCCAATCCAGGAAAACGCTTTTTTGGGCAGGTTATAAAAAACCGGGCAGGTTGAAAAAACCGCTCAAATCCGCAAATTTCCCCGCAGATCCTCGCGGATGGGCAATTTGTTATCATATTTTGTGTTGATGCATTTTATGTTGTGTGTTCATGGCTCTCATGAAGAACTCATGAAACTCACATGAAACACTCACACGAAGCTTTCATAAAGCTCTCATGGCGCTAAAATGAAGCTCTCATGAGACTCACATGGGATCCTCATGAAAGGCTCATTGAGCTCCCATGGCGAGTGAATGGAGTACCAGGGTGCTCGATTGTTTGACTAGAGAGGGGGGACCAGTTGACTTCTTGCGAGAGACAACAGAAGTGTGCGAAAGTCAGGAACCACGCGTGGGGTCCTGACACGCGCGTGTGGCCCCACAGGGAACACGCATGTGTCACACTTGCGACCGCACACAGTGTGCGCAACCGCAACAGAACAGAACGACACGATCTATTTTTCCTGTGCTGTACTGTGCGCGATCGCTGTCGCGATCGCATTGTACAGCACGACCAAGTCATATCTCGGTCGTGACGTGTGACAAGGGGGGGTGCTCGAATTACATTTAAGAACTGTATCCCGCGCTGACTCAGTGAAAATGAATTTTCAAGAGAAAGTCATGTTCCTTAGCAAAATAGCTACATAACAGGTATAAAACGGTAAAGATCGTTTTATAGCTGTTAGCTCGCATGAATCTTAGGAGAACTCATGAGTGCTCACATTGGAGTTCGCAAGAGCATTTGTTAGAAGCGAAAAAAAAAAAGACAGTTTCTATCAGGACGTGGACCAAGACAAATGCTCCAGAAGTTGAGCACCCGTTTTCGAAACCAGCGAGGAAATTTTAAAATTCGGTTTTACAACCGTTTTAAGCTTGCATTTGCTTGTGCATAAGATTTATATAAAATGTGATCACCTGTCACACTCGGAAAGCTTCAAGTGGATGGAGATAGGTGCTACTAAGTTTTAGCTTGTAGTTAAGTTATAAATCATTTCTGCATAGTCAATAGCAGCTAACACGTGGTATCAAAGCTTGTACCTAGTCGCTTTCAACGTATCCAATGATGGGGTCGCCTAGAAAAGAAGGGAATTTAGCCCCCGCGAGTAGTGGTAGCCGGGAATCTGATGTCTCCGCGCCTAGGATAGTCCAGACGAGCCACGGCCCACTGCTAAGGGAGGCACTGAAAATTTTCACAGTCGACAAGTTTAATGGTGAAGGATACAACGGCTGGTTCTAGAAGGTGCAGCTGAATTCTTGGCAGATATGAATTCTTAAGCTTATGATTGGTAGTGACATGTTGACAGCTATAACGTTATGCGGAAGCGACTAAAGCTTGAACTACAAACTTTGGTCGGCAACACTTAACATCACTTGCAGCCCTTCGAGTGTGACAGCTTGTCACCTCCTAGCCAAGGGCGTAGAAAATAGCAAGTGAGTAGTTATGCCTTGCTCAGCTTGTAGGACGAGCAAACTGGTCGAGAAGAATTTCGGCAGCACCAAGGTAATATTTCTACTCTCGTCAATACGAAGTAGTAGAATACGAGCTTGAAAAACGCAAATGCATTAGATTAATTTCGACAGGTACAAGCACACATTTATATAGATTCTACGCACAAGCAGAAGAAACTAGAAAACAGTTGATTAACTGGCTCGCAGGATTTCGCCACGCTGTATCTTGAAAACAGTTGCACAAATCCTTGAGCATTTGGCTATATCCTCCTATTGTTAAAAACTGTCTTCAAATTGCACTTGTAACAATCGCCCCTGCTGACTCAAATGTGTACACCCATGAGACTCGCATGTTGCTGCAATGTAGCTCAAATGTCTTCATGCGAGCTCACAGTTGTATAACGGTTTTTACCGTTTGAAAAACGGAGTAACCGATTTGCACCTATGTCGAAATGATTCCGCAAAACGAAATGACTTTCGCGAGAAATTTCCCGTCCCGTGAGTCAACTCGGAAAACAGTTTTTCAACTGTAAATTCCGAGCACCCCTCGTGCCACATGCACGACCGAGATTTTTTCTCGGTCGTGCTGTACAGCGCGCCATGATCGTAATCATGCGCGCCTACAGTACGGGACAGGGCCGAAATGGGCCCTGTCTTGTTGCGATCGTGCTGTACAGCACGCTCGCAACAGTACGCGGCACACGCGTGTGCCTTGTGGTCCCACACGCGCGTGCCTTGACCCACGATCAGGTCTTGACTATCGCGCTTTTGACCAGCGTGAGAAAAGTCAAGGCACCCCTTGACCAGTCAAAGAACCGAGCACCCCTCGGTACACCACCCGCTCACATGAGGCTTCAATAAGTCTCGCATGAAAATTCGAGACTCATGGGACTTTCATGGTCGCTCGCATGAGCCTCGCATAAGACATTTAAGTCCCATGCGAGCATCGTTTGAGCTCCATAAGGTCTTCATTTGAGCCTCATTTGAGCACTTCGCATGAGTCTCATTTGAGAGCTTCGCATGAGTCTCATTTGAGAGCTTCGAATGAGTCTCATTTGAGAACGCTTCATGAGGTCCTCATTTGAGCGCTTCATGGGAGCTTCATGAGAACAGTGAAAACGAAACTGAAAATGCAAAAACACAAAATGCACTTATGAATAAAAACGAAACACACAAAATGCAAGAACAAATGCGTACAGAAGGTTCACAAAATAAAAATGAAAAATGCGCACACACACAAATATGCAAAATGCGACGCAGGCGGCTGGTTGACGTGCAAAAATAAAATAAATATGTGCACCCAACATGACAAACGTTCTAGCAACCCGAAGTTTCGGGGCGATTGGGACGAACATTCATTATACATGGGCAAATGGCGAGTCGAGTTTTACCTGACTCGTTTTGACGAGTTTTTTCCCTTTGACGAGTCGAGTCGAGTTTTACTCGTCGAGTTTTTTTGGTCAAAGTGCTGACTCGAAACTCGGCCCCAAAGTCGAGTTTTTTGAAAACTCGGATGAGCCTTAAAAAAAATCGTCCGAGTCAAGTAAAACTCGACTCGAAGTTAAACACTACCCTAACCTAAAACCCCAGCCACACGAAAACAGTTGTAGGGTGACCAGAAAACTGCCACACGCGTCAACACCCACAAACGACCCAGCCAGCCCCACCTCTCCTCCCCCCTTTCACTTTCCAAAAAAGCTACTCACCGCCACGCCAGCTGCACTAGTGTTCACAATTAAGTGGTGGAACACATCCAAAACAGCGAGCCACACCTCCAGCAGCATATTAACCCAGAAACAGACATTTGTACCCCCCCGTGGTGGACCATTTGATGCACGAGTTTTTTAAAACTCGTCTAGGTTAAACAAAACTCGTGAGTGAAAAAAAACTCGCGAGTTATGGGTAACTCGCCTGTCTAGCCGAGTTTTTCACGAGTTTTTTTAAACTCGCGAGTAAAAATCGACTCTTTTTCACGAGCTTTTTTTACCAAAATCAGAACCCGAAACTCGTTATTTTCGAGTACTTCAAACGAGTCTAGTAAAAACTCGACTCGTTTGCCCATGTATCTTAGTGGGAATATACGCGTATAGCGTATATACGCGTATTGTATATACGCTAACGTATATACGCTAAACGCTTAAGGGTCGATTTGGTAATACGCTTTTTCGGGCAGGTAAAAAACTATCTCGGGCAGGGTGAAAAAGACGTCGTGCTCAAGATTAAGAAGGTGATCCCTATTCTCATTATGACTTTCGTAGCATTTCTCAAGTCTGAACGACGATTGGGGTGGGACGTGGAGTAGACATTAAAAGGAGTAGGTAGGAATCGGAAGGAGCTCTGCTGTTAGAAAGTGGGAATGCCAACTGGAATTTTGCTGGCTGGTAAGTAGCGTGAGTGGGGTTTGGTGGGGCACGTTTTTGACAGGTTGGAATTCGTAGATAATATGGGTTCCAATGCGGTACCAATCTAATGTTCAAATTTGAACTGCCTGCAACTTCGAAGGCCCACTCCCGCTTCCCTAGACCGTCAAATTGCATTTCGGCTTAGGGGAAATGCTCAGCAGAAGATTCCGCATCTTTCTGTACACAAGCGATTTTTTTTTCCCTGGGCAGCCCGAAATTTTTTCTGATAGCGTATAGCGTATTAGCTAGCGTATTGCGTTTTACGTACACACGCTAGCGTGTATACGCTATACGCTTTAGGGTTTGAGCGTATATTCCCACTAAGCCATGTATAACATTCATCAGCCGCATATTACATATTTTCTCAAAGCCTAGACCTCACCCAACGTCAGCACATTATCCATTTAATCCCAGACACAAGGAAGAGTGCGGACTTAAGGCGTGGGTCGTGCACAAGGACCTATATTCTGGGTCAAAATGACTCCAAAACCATATTGTGGATCCTGTCCTACATGTGGTCGCACCTCGACTACCATAAAATGCCACACTTTACTTCTCACGTTATACCTCATCTCACTTCCCATATGAGTTGTCGCTTCCTGAAGTTGCATCTCAACTCAATCATCACACGAGCTCGTATCCTAACTCAAGTACCACACGAGTTTGCGTCACACATCATCTCACCTGTGGCATGAGCGTCCACATGGTCCACATGGTCTCTGGATATGAGGATGCATATCCAGCAGCTTCTCGAACATGTCCATAGCCCTTTGGCCTTGTTCACCGGTGCGCCACTTCTTGTGTTGGCATCTCAACTTAATGATCACATGCCTTGGCGTCACATCTCACCTGTGGTATGAGCGCCCGCATGGTCTCATACATCTTCAACAGTGTTTCGAACATATCCATCAGCTCCTTGGCCTGATTCACCGGCATTCTTTGGCTCACCACCACCTCCCCGAAGCCAAACAGCATGCCCAGCGTGAGATCCGCCAGGTCTGCAAACGCCTTGCTTGAGTGCGGCTCCAACCCTGCAAGGACCGTCTCACACAGCGCCCTCTCCGCCTTGAAAACCACATCCACCTGTGTGCAGTGAGGTGCAGTGGGATACAAGGAGGAAGTGGGTGGCTTGTGAGGGGTGTAGTGTTTCGCACAGCTCCCTCTCCGCCATGAACACCACGTGCACCTGGGGGTGAAAGGGAGAGCGGGTTAGAGAACGGAGAAGCAGTGGAGGGGGGTGGGAGTGGTGGGGTGTCAAAGGGGGTATAGTGTTGGTAGAGTGTTTGTGTGCGGCTTCAACCCTGCCAGCACCGTTTCACACAGCTCCCTCACTACCTTAGTTGGTATTGTACGTTTACGGTGGTTTACGTTTACGTGACTTTACGTAGTAAACTTACGTTTACTTACGTGGGCTAAAAATGGCTTTACGTTTACGGTCAGCTAGAAACAGTTCTAACTGCCCGGAAATATAAGAAATCATCGGACTAAGTGGCTGCATGGGAAGCGCCTAATCTATCACTAGCTTGGTTCTTCTACGCCCAAGCATGTTAGCACATTATTACATCAACTTACAGATGCCCCAAATCTACACAAACATGTAGCAGCCTCTCCCACCTCATATCAGTCAGATTTTTTCGTTTCGCGGGCAAAAAAACTTTTTTTTGCCCTGCCCGTGCGACTTTACGTAAAATTACGCGTAAGAAAACGTAAATGTAAACTCAAGCGTAAGTTTACGTTTACGTGACCCAAAAAAACGTAAAGTACCAACTAAGCTCACTACTATGAATACCACGTGCACCTAGACGGAATAAAGCGGTGGAGGTGGGTGGGGGGCGGTGGGTTGTCAGGGGGTTCTGATCTAGTGTTGACAACAGAGCCTATGTGCTGTGCGGCTCCAGCCCTGCAAGAACCGTTCCACACAGCTCCCTCTCCGCCTTGAACGGACACGTATCCGTGCTCATGAAGAAGAGCTGCAGTAGGGAGGAACGTTCTAGCAAAAAACCGAGAAGTCAATTAGTGAAAATTGCAAATCACACAGCGCCCTCTTCGCCCTGAACACCACGTGCACATGAGTAGGGGTGGGGAAGAGTTGATAGAGACGGTGGGTGGGGTGTCAAGGGTTAGGAGTTGAAGGAACACCACACCTCCTGCCCGCTCTGCCATCAAAACCGCATGCACCCGGTGGGAGGGAAGGGAAGGGGGAGGGAGGGGAGGGGAGGGGAGGGGAGGGGAGGGGAGCGGGAGGGAGGGGAGGGGAGGGGAGGGGGGGGGAGGGGAGGGGAGGGGGAGGGAGGGGAGGGGAGGGGAGGGGGAGGGAGGGGAGGGGAGGGGGAGGGAGGGGAGGGGAGGGGGAGGGAGGGGGGGGGCACCGCCATGAACACCATGTGCACTTGCTTGCATAAGGTTTGGGTGGGGAAAGCGAGGTAGGGAGTTGTCAGGAATCAGTGTTGACGGGAAACCCGCTCGGGCCATTGCCACGTGCACCTGCTCCCACTCTGCCACTGAACCCCTGTCACACACACCACGTGCACCTAGGGGTGGTGGAGATTAAGGGATGGGGAGGTGGGTGGGATGGGATGTCAGGGGTATGATGGTGATGTTAAGGTGCAGCATGTGGCGATTCTGGGTGTGCAGAAGCATCCGATTCCTTTCACATGAGCCCATCCCAGCACACTCTTCAAGTAGAGATGTGTTCTCAGATCCTATCGAAATATCGCGGGTCATCTCCAACCATGGTCGGTTGGACGGGCTGTCGGAAACACAGCTCTGCCTGCCTTCTGCCCTTATTCTGATTCTCTTCCCCTCTCTAGCTTCTAGAGCTTCTTCTGAAAGAGACGAAGCTCCCACCCCAAGGGTCCTCCCTGAGTGGTGTGTCACCTAGTTGCAAGATTAAGGTAACAACGTTCCACTATACGAAAGGACATCAAGAGAAAAGCAACGAGTGAGTGTGTGTTAGTGAATTTACCCATCCCAGGCTTGAAGCGTGCATTTCTCAATGTGCGCCTTGAGCCTGGGTTGGTTTGTTCACATTGGTTCCTTGGATTGCAACCCTCGTAGCTCTCCTACCAACTTCGCGACACTCTCCCTGGTCCCCAACTACCTACGCCCCAAATGTTCATATTCGATAATGCTACAACCCTCACTACACCGCGGCAAAACTGGCACCTCATATGCACAACCGTGCATATTCGGTGACAGGGCAAAAACAACATCTGGTGTGCGCTGACTGACTCACCGCCATGCTGATCTGCGGCTTCCACAACCCCTCAACGCGCGTCTCCAGATCCGTCCAAACCATGCAATCCATCTGCTCACGTGTGAGCTCCTCCGTGCAGTTCATGCGCTTAAACCCCGCCTTCACCGCGGCGCCGCGCACATTGCTGCTTGGAGGGGAGAGTGTTAGAGAGTGAGTGAGTGAGTGAGTGAGTGAGAGACGTGCATCTTGCTGCTTGGAGGGGAGAGTGTGAGTGAGTGAGTGGGTGAGTGCATGCGTGCTATGCACTACTCTCTGCTCATTGTTCTCATCTGCTCGCGAGTTAGCTCCTCCATCCCAATGCACCTCAACCCCGCATGCAACATTGTGCTGTGCACCTTGGCGCTTGCAGGGGAAAGTGTGAGTGAGTGAGTGAGTGGTGCGCATCTAGCTGCTTGGGGAAGCGAGTGTGGAAGTGAAGCGTGTACCTGCGAGGGTGTGTGATCAGCCTGGCTCACGTGTATATCTTCAGGCATTTATCGGCCCGGCCAATCCGGATGAGTGCCTCTGCCAGCTGGCGGATGCGCTCGCCCGCCTTTCTATTTGCCAGCAGCACCGGCAGCCCATTGCCCTCCGACTCGGCCTGCTTGATCGCTTCTGCTAGCTTTGCTGGATGTGCAGCCTTGCTGTATGGGGGGGAAGAGGAGGGGGGGATATGGAGTGCGTGAGGGCTGATTAGAAGAGGAAGGAGGGTTTGTCTCCCGCCCGCACGCCTACGCCTCCTCCTCCTCCTCCTCCTCCTCCTCCTCCTCCTCCTCCTCCTCCTCCTCCTCCTCCTCCTCCTCCTCCTCCTCCTCCTCCTCCTCCTCCTCCTCCTCCTCCTCCACCTCCTCCTCCTCCCTCCTCCTCCTCCTCCTCCTCCTCCTCCTCCTCCACCTCCTCCTCCTCCTCCTCCTCCTCCTCCTCCTCCTCCTCCTCCTCCTCCTCCTCCTCCTCCTCCTCCTCCTCCTCCTCCTCCACCTCCTCCTCCTCCTCCTCCTCCTCCTCCTCCTCCTCCTCCTCCTCCTCCTCCTCCTCCTCCTCCTCCTCCTCCTCCTCGCCCTGCTTCTAAAGGCTTGACAGATTTTGGCTACTTGCTGGGTGGGGGGAGGGAGAGGAGGGGGTGGGGGAGAAGAACGGCATTGGATTGGATAGAGAGTGAAGCCGGGCTATAGCGTGAAGATGCAAGAAGCAGGCTTGTTTTACTTCAGGCGCCTCGAAAAATGAATAGGGAGAAAAGCCAGAGCATAGAATGAAGATGCAGGCTCGGATGGCAGGACGGAGGAAAATTGAAAGAAAAAAATAGCGAACCTCGCTTTCCCCTTTTCCTCCCCTTTCCTACACTCCTCCCCCTCCCTCCCATCCACGCATCTCCATTCATCCCCTCTCTTTTCCCTCTCACTAACTGCAGCAGCAGCTGTCTCTTCCACTTCCTTGCTCCCTCGTACCTTTTCCCCACATTCACCTGTCTCCTTCTCACTCACGTGAACTGCAACAGCTGCTCCCGGAGAGCATCAGCCAGGCACTGGTGGGCGTCCCTCAGCAGCTCCTGGGAGTCAGCCAGAGCCACCTCCGCGCCCGCCCGCATTTGGGTCGACGCAAAAGCAAACTCAAAAATCCTCAACACCCTTCAACTTCAACGGCCGCTTTTTCCCCACGCCTTCAGAACTCTCGCACCTCTCACTCAGGCCTGCTTCTCCGTCTCTTCGCCTCTAACTTCCCCCGCTCACTCCCTCCCTGGCCCCTTCCCTCGCCCTCTCCCCCACCCCCTGCCCCATCCCCCCCTCCCACTCACGTGAACTGCTGCAGCTGCTGCTTGAAAGCAGCATTGAGGCGGTGATGGGCGTCCTTCAGCAGCGCCTGGGAGTGAGACAGAACCAACTGCCAGGCGCCCTTCACCGCTTCGAGCGCCTCACAGCACCGCACGCTCTCTTCCAGCTGTGCTATAGCTGCTAAGTACGGCTCTAGGTCGGCCTTGGGACCTTCTTTGATGCGCGCCTCCAACTGTTACACGGGAAAGGCACGGAGGTAGAAATGAGTAAGGTCAAGGCCAATCTGCCTCTTCCCCACCCCACCACGGCCTCCTGCAGCTGTGCTATGGCTGCTAGGCACGGCTGTAGGTCGGTCGGCCTCGAGCAGGAACCGTCTAAACCGCTATTCCGGGGGCCCTCCTTGATACGCGCCTCTATCTGCCACGTGGGATGTGGCAACTCCAGCAATTTGTTCGCCGAAACTCTTTCTATTGTTCCAACTATCTTTGAGACTCGAATGGCCTTCTCCTCGCAACATACTTACTCCACGTTCGTGAAGGATGGCCAAGCACACTTGCATTGCATTGCAACAGTATTCTTTCACCCTCCTCCAGCCCCTCCCCTCCCCTCCTCCTAGTAATATTTATCCAACCCGTCAACCCTCCTACCAAGCCTTGATTCAGACCCGCTTGCCACGTCACCTCACCTGCCTTGCCACGTCATCTCACCTGCCTTGCCACGTCACCTCACCTGCCTTGCCACGTCTTTTCACCTGCCTTGCCACGTCACCTCACCTGCATCGCCACTTCATACTTCTCCAGCACCAGGTGAGCAGCCTTGAGCGGCTTCTCTCACAATGACATGCGAAGACGGGGGAGGGAGAGGGAGAGGGAGTTGGGGAGAGGGAGGGGGAGGGAGGGCGAGGGTGGGGGAGGGAGGGGGAGAGAGGGGGAGGGAGGGGGAGGGAGGCGGAGGGTGAAACAGGGAAAGAGAGAAAGGTCAGTCAGGGCACACTCATGTGCGCCTGTGTGCCATGAGAATGTCGCAGGTACAGAATTCGAGAGGGGGGAGGTGGGCGGAAGAAGTCAAGAGGGGAGAGAGTATTGAAGCAAGCAGACAGTGTGCCTTGCGAATGGGGTAGGTACGCTCCTGGCAGGTCTGGCAGAGGTGGGAGAGGGGGAGGGAGAGGATGTGGAAAGGTCAGTGAGCGCATTCTCATGTGCGCGTGTGTGGCTTGCAGATGGGGTAGGTACGCTCCTGGCAGGTCATACAGAGGTGGGAGAGAGGGAGGGAGAGGGTGTGGAAAGATCAGTGAGCGCATTCTCATGTGCGCGTGTGTGGCTTGTGGATGGTACGCTCCTGGCAGGTCATGCAGTGGTGGGAGTAGGGGAAAAAGACAGTGAGGGGGATGGGAAGAACGACAGGTGAAGGAAATTCGAGGGGGAAAGGGAGACCAAAAGGGAAAGGAAGAGCGAAAGGGAAAGGGAGAACAAAATGGAGAACGATGGGGAAAGGGAGAGCGAAAGGGAGAAAAAGAGGGAAGGGAGAGGTCATAATCACGCCACTGATTATAGTGAGCGTGCGCCTTGTGGAATGGCCTTGGTGTGTTCCTGCCGGGTCAGGCCGCAACACAGTTGGGAGACGGAGAGATGGCGGTGGGGATTGCATGATCATGCAATCAAGCACATAAGCAGCCCGAGGTGCAGCAAGGGGAGAGAGGGACGTGAGGTGGAAGGGGAGAGAGGGAGGTGGGGGGAAAGGGGAGAGAGGGAGTTGGGGGGAAAGGGGAGAGAGGGAGGTGGGGGGAAAGGGGAGAGAGGGAGGTGGGGGGAAAGGGGAGAGAGGGAGGTGGGGGGAAAGGGGAGAGAGGGAGGTGGGGGGAAAGGGTAGAGAGGGAGGTGGGGGGGAAGTGGAGAGAGGGAGGTGGAGTGCACGGGGAGAGGCGCCACAACATTCATGTGAATGGCTATCGTCGCTGCGCCTCGTATGACGAGGCGACACAAAAATCGTTTTATCACACGGGATGCCACACAACAGGCCTGGACGCCTGCGGGGTCTAAAAGTAGGGTTGAAAGGCTACCGCCGTTGCGCCTATGAACTCCCGGTTTTGAATTAGTGGTCTAGCTGGGCACTCGGCTCGGCTCGGCTCGGCTCGGCTCGGCTCGACTCGGCGCGGGTCGGCTCCGCTCGGGGCGGCTCGGCTCGGTTCGGTTCGCTCGGACACGGCAGGCGACGCGGCGTGGCTCCGCTCGGCGGCTCGGCTCGGTTTCTCTGCTCTGCTAATGCTTTGGCTCGCTATGCTGCTCTGCGTGAAATCAAGACCATAGCCTTGCAATGCTGCTTCCGAGGCGTGCAATGCTCCTTCCGAGCCGACCAAGGTGACTGAGGCGGCCCTTCCAATTGCTCGCGTCGCATCACTGTGCATTGGATCGTCAATGTCACACGCCTTACCTGGGACGGTCGCATTGCCGCGAGCCGCTGGTCGAACGATCCTAGGCGATCATTGCTGCTCTACGACTGCGCCAATGTGTCGCACGGGGCCGCGTCGGCCACGTTTGCGGCGTCGCAAGAATCAACAATTACTGAATTTTAGATTTCCTACGCCTAATATTCCTAAACGCTATGGGCGCAATTCATCCCAGACACTGTACGACGACATTGAAATACTCAGCGTATTTCAGGGTTGGCGTGCGAGAAAACCAAGAGACTGGCCGGCTTGGCGGGTATAGAAAGTACAAATACTGCACATATGATTTCGTGAAAGTAACCCTGAGCCAGGGCACGATGCTGGCTCGCGGGTGCTAGGTGACGAGAAAATTTTCGCGGCAAAACGGGGCGAAGTGCGGCTCCATGTCGCAGAACTGTAGAAACGCGAGGGGCCCCCGCCAAAGCGATTCCTCTGGTCCGACAGACTGATCGACCGACGGAACAAGGTAACACCGCTTTCGGTCACGTAACCATACCAGAACCTGACGTGCACGCAAGTCAGAACAGCCTCGGGTCACGCTCGCACCCGAGCCAAACTTCCTAACGTTGCGGTTCAGTCACATCAAAATTGAGACCGCGAAAAGAGGCAGGAATATAAGTACACCGTAAGAGTCTAGATTTCGTCTAGCAGCTTCCGAGGATAGAACAGAGCGTAAGTTCGTTTACGACTTGAATTGTAGGAAGATTAGCGAAGAAGACGGAGAAGTGACGTCGTCATTTAAGACGTCGCAAACGACGCCATGGTCGCGGAAGTGGCGTGCGACTTAGCGTCGCACGCGCAGGCTTTGCGCGACGCGTTGGCGCAGTCGCAGAGCAACAATGATCGCCTGGCGGACATCCTAGGGTCGTTCGACCAGCGGCTCTCGGCCTTAGACACGGCTATGCGACCGACCCAGGTGAGGCATGCGACATGTGCGAAGCATTGACCTAGTATTGCGACAAAAGGAAGCGAGTCAACGAACGTCGACGAGCGAAATGAAGGCGGCGACACGAGCGGTTAAGAAGAGGGCCTCTGTCCTCTCCTTTCGCGGAGACCGTGGCTGAAGCCGCTCCGTCGTGGCCGTTCCTCGCGTCCGATTGGTCGAGAGCGCGGTCCGCGGCGCGCCCGTCCGTCCCCATATCACGCGGCACGTGAATGAAGCTGCGCTTCGTGCGACTTACTGCGCCGCTCCGCCTCCCCTTTGATCTCCGCAAGATTCCCTCCCCATATGGTCTCCCTCGTCCCACGTCCTTCTCCCTCCCTCTTCCACCTCCCCCACACTCCTCCCCCACTCTCTTCCCCCCACTCTCCTTACCCCACTCTTCTTACCCTCTCTCCTTCCCCACTCTCCTTACTTCACTCGTCTTCCCCACTCTCTTCCCTCCCCCCGTTCTCCTTTCCCCACTCTAGTCGCGCGTGCATGCTCATGAATGCCCTTGCCTCCATTCCCCCTCCCACCGCGGCCTGACCTACGCCATCTGCAGCACGGCGCATGCCCGCAAGAATCATGGCCTCTCTTATGCCCGCCTATGCCCTCCCACCGCGGCCTGACCTGGCAGCACCACATTACACCACACCACACCACACGCCATATGCAACAAGGCGCATGCCCACAAGAATCATGGCCTCTCTTATGCCCACCTATGCCCTCCCATCCCACCGCGGCCTGACCTGCGCCATCTGAAGGAAGATGCTTGGATGCATGAGATATGGCCTGTCATATGCCCGCCTATGCCCTCCCACCGCGGCCCGACCTGGCAGCACCACACCACACCCATGCCATCTGCAGCAAGGCACATGCCCGCATGAAATACGGCATCTCATATGCCGTTCCCACTCTCACCGCGTGCATGCTGACTTGGCAGGAGTGCACCTATGCCATCCGCAAGGTGCAAGCTCACACAAATATTCCCTCTCCCTTTTCCCATTTCATCTCCCTCTCCCTTCCTTATTTCCAACTCGGCCTGACCTGGCAGGAGTGCACCTACATCATCGACAAGGCACTCGCGCACATGAATACGCCCGGACTGGGCCGGCCTACCTTCCTTTCTTCCTTGCCCCGTTTCAACCTCCCTCTCCCTCCCCCATTCCCGAATCCCAACTCCGCCTAACCCAGCAGGAGCGCACCTATGCCATCCGCAAGGCCCACGCTTATGTGAATATGCCCTGACTGACCTTTCCCTCTCCCTCCTGTGGCCTGACCTGGCAGGAGCGTACCTACACCATCCGCAGGGCGTATGTCCAGATGAATACGGCCTGACGACCTTTCCCCTTCCCTCTCCTCCCCTTCCTTCCCCCCACTCACATGACAGGAGCGCACCTACGCCATCCGCAAGGCGCACGTCAACGTGGACAAGGCGCTCAAGGCTGCTGAGGTGGTGCTGGAGAAGTATGACGTGGCGAGGCAGGTGAGCTGACATGGCGAGGCAGGTGAGATGACGTGGCGAGGCAGGTGAGATGACGTGGCGAGGCAGGTGAGATGATGTAGCAAGGCGGCTTTAAAATGACCTAGGAATGAAGGATGGATAGGAGGATAGCAGGAGGAGAGTACTGAGGGAGGGTGAAAGAATAAAGTTGCAAAGGTTGGTTGGAGTTAGGCTACCAGGAATGTGTGGGTACGGGGATGACACATGGCCATTGATGACCATTGGATTGGAGTGATTGCGGTAACCGCAAACTATGCCAGCCCCAAAAGGTTCTCATTCGTCAAGGTCGCGATTGACATACATTACAATGACAAGTGTGCACTCAACGTGGTGAGTACAACCACACTAACTTTGCACGGTACAGCCTCCACTGGGTACAGCCTCCACTGGGTACAGCCTCCACTGGGTACAGCCTCCACTGGGTACGGCCTCCACAGGGTACAGCCTCCACTGGGTACAGCCTCCACTGGGTACGGCCTCCACAGGGTACAGCCTCCACTGGGTACAGCCTCCACTGGGTACGGCCTCCACAGGGTACAGCCTCCACTGGATACGGCCTCCACAGGGTACGGCCTCCACAGGGTACAGCCTCCACTGGGTACTGCCTCCACAGGGTACGGCCTCCACAGGGTACAGCCTCCACTGGGTACTGCCTCCACAGGGTACGGCCTTCACAGGGTACGGCCTCCACAGGGTACGGCCTCCACAGGGTACGGCCTCCACAGGGTACGGCCTCCACAGGGTACAGCCTCCACAGGGTACGGCCTCCACAGGGTACAGCCTCCACAGGGTACAGCCTCCACAGTGCGTCCGCACGATGGCTTGGGTACTTTGAGGCAAACCGCTCGTTTTGTGAGCCGACTTTATACTCCCATCCGCACTCTTTGCTGGCAGGTGGACGAGCGCATCAAGGAGGCCCCAACCCAAGAGTGCGGCTGCACTGGATCCATATCGCCATACCTGGCAGCCATAGCGCGGCTGCACTGCACGAGGGCGTGGCGTACTTTCAGGCAAAATCTGCAGCAGCTGGTCTCCGTTTTCCCTTCTCCCATTTCCCCTCTCGTTTCCCCCACATGGCAGGTGGAGGAGCGCATCAAGGAGGGTCCCAAGAACGCCCTGGACCCGCACTTACAGAGGGCGTGGCGTGTTTTGAGGCTCCACGTATACCCTCACATCACACTACGTTCCCGTCTCCCTCAATCTCCCCGCGCTCTCACGCTGGCAGGTGGAAGAGCGCATCAAGGAGGGCCCTAAGAACGCCCTGGACCCCTACCTAGCAGCGATAGCCCGGCTGCACGAGGGAGTGGCGTACTTTGAGGCCAACCGGTCGTTCAAGAGCGCAGAGGCGGCTCTGGCTCACTCCAAGGCGCTGCTGCTGCTGAGGGCGTGGCGTGGCGAGCTTGGAGCCTTCAGCTCAGCAGCGCGGTGTGCAATCAATCATCATAAGCCCTTTGCCCCCTTGTTCCTCTCACTTTGCGCTGGCAGGTGGAGGAGCGCATTAAAGAGGGTCCCAAAAACGCCCTGGACCCCTACCTAGCAGCGATAGCCCGGCTGCACGAGGGCGTGGCGTATTTCGAGGCAAACCGGCAAACTCCCATTCCCATTCTTGGCTGGCAGGTGGAGGAGCGCATCAAGGAGGGTCCCAAGAACGCTCTGGACCCCTACTTGGCGGCCATAGCCCGCTTGCACGAGGGCGTGGCGTACTTTGAGGCGAACCGGTCGTTCAAGAGCGCGGAGGCGGCTCTGGCCCACTCCAAGGCGCTGCTGAGGGAGGGCCACCACCGACTAGAGGATGCGCTCCGGCAGCAATTGTTGCAGTATACGTGAGTGAGGGGGAGAGGAGGTGGGGCTAGGGGGAGGAAGCGCGGAGGGGGTTCTGGCTCACTCCAAGGCGCTGCTGCGGGAGGGCCATCACTGCCTGGACGATGCCCTCCAGCAGCAGCTGCTGCATTTCACGTGAGTGGGGGGGCCCGGGGGGGGGGGGGGGGGGGGGGAGGGGGTAGAGGGAGGGAGAGGATGAAACCGGGGAAAGGAAGAGGCAGAGAGCGCTGCTGAGGGAGGTCCA